TAGCTGGAGAGGCTGAACGCGTGTTAACGTGCAGACCTGGGCTGTAAAGTGAGGAGTTGGGAGTGGGAGAGCCCAGGATTTCAACAGATCTCGTACCCGACAGCCCCCTGCACTCACATAAGGCTGACGGGGAGGTACGTGGCCGCAGGAACACCGTGGGAGATGTCTCCTATGTGGAGAACGGGGCTGGCCTCTCCTCCAAAGACTGGGTTTATCGCTGGCAGCAGTTTATTGGTCCTTACAGTGTTCAAGGAAGCTAGTATCATGTTTTTAATCATGTTGTTGCTATTAATTATCTATGAGCAACATGCCCAGAGTCCCCCGCCAGCCAGCTCCAAGGCCCAGGGTGGCCTGTGCCATCTGTTCATCCCGACTCAACCCGCCCCGTGCCTTCTGTGCAAGGGCCAAGCTCTTCCTCCTTGGGCCGTCCTGCTGGGTGAGGAGAAAGCGAGGTCGGTTTGGTTTTCCACGACCGTCACGCACGGGGGAATGTGAATGGACAGGCGCTGGCACGGGCTGAAGGTGAGCAATTTTGCCATAAATAGCCTTGGCATACGAGTACAAAGTCACCTCCTCCTTTGGCTCTGGAGGTGCCTGCCAGCCTCCCTCCAAAGCACGGCTCCAAGCTGCCTTTCCCCGTGGGTGGTTTTTTTAAAAATATACCATTGATCAATGAAGAGGAGACAAAAATACACACAAACAGAGCAGTTTTTAACCTGGCTTGATTAATGCTGTCAAGTTGTACATCTGAGTGTGAGCTCAGTGGGACTGCTGCTTTTGTTTTAATACCACAAGACACCTCAGTCTGGATTGTTGCATTACAGTACAAATAAAAAACAAACAAAACCACATCTGCATCATACAAGGTGAGAAGAATATGAGAATTCTAAGTATTTACAGAGAAGGGCAAGTGGGGGAACCACAAAAAGTATTTACATAAAAATACATGAGCTTGTCGGCATATACATTTTACACCAGTTCACAAAAAAAAAAAGACACTATATAAATTAAAGTGAAGGGAACTCCAAAGGTAACCCAAGACTTTCTGGGATGTTTCTCTTATGCGGCTCAGGCAAAGAAAAGAAATCAAGTCTTCTACAGCAGGAACGTGAACTGCAAACCAACCCTTTTCTCCCCCCCCTGCACCGGATGAGGCAAGGCTGCACACAAACGGGAGGTTTGCTGAAGCCAGGCCCTGGGATTCCTACGCCGCCTCCGACGGAAGCAAGGAGAACTGTTTCCCACCCAGCTCTCCCGACGTACCCGAACAGCAGAGCGTGTGGTCCACTCCCTTTCTGGGGTTAAGGAGGAACTCCGTGTTTTCAGGGGGGTTTTGGTTTTGTGTAGCTAATTACTACCACTGTGCAATCCCTTCTGACACCCCCCCCCCACCACCCTTCAAACGATGGGCGTAAAAGGAGCAGCTCTGGAAAGACATAGGCACACAGTTGGGGGGGGTTGTCATGTGCATATGGATTTCACCTGATAAGACTGTTTAAAAATCAGAAATTAATGCTTTACTTAAGAATTCCTAGGGTCTGGGGCCTTCTCATCCAACATCTGCGCTCCCCCTTCGCCAAGGAAGGCTGCACGTTCCGTGGAAATCCAGAGTTGGAATACACCGCTGGACCCCAACTCTTGCGCCCACCGGGGAGGAACTCTGCCACAAACTTCGGAAGCGGCAGTTGAAGACGGAAGTGGCAGTTTAAGACCGAGGTAAGTGTGGCAAGTCCAAGAACGCAGCTGCTCATCGCCTCCCTGGAGCCAGGATTAGGCAATGAATTCCTTCCTCCGAGAACGGGGCTGGCGACAGCCAAGAACGGAGCTACCAACTCACCTCCAGACCGGCCGGTGTCGCCCCCTCTCCTCGGGCTGCACCCAATGCCCTGCCTACCCTCACGAGGGTGCCTGGGAGGACAGAGCTGGGTGTTTTACCGTCACTCAGTTCCCGGGGAGGTGAAACTCCTCAAGGCCGCGGGCTAAGCACAGTGCGAGGGCAGAACTGCATCGCTCCCGATATGGCTTTGGGGGGG